ACATTAGAGGGGTGAAAACAATTTAAAACCCACAAGCAACAAAACTGCAGCAAAACGCTTTTAAATACGGCATTAAGTCATTTCTAACTTCTATTTATGATATCTCTGCTTTCTTGCTTAAATGCCGCTTCCTTTCTTTTTGTTTATTTCATTTTTTTTTTTTTGCAGAAAGTCATTTTTAATTTAAAAATGTATGAATATACATATATGTATATGAAGTTATGTATATAGCTTTTTTCTTACTAATAAATATTTTGATACATACATAAATATGTATATAATTAATATTGTATGCTATTTTTTCATTATTAAGTGGAAAATTATATTTTGAATTATACAAAATGGGTTTTCAACTTTACATAAACGCATAAAAATCGCAGAATTATTAGCTTGATATAATGGTAAGTAAAAATGAATAACTTCTTCAACTTGTTTGTACTCAATTGCATTTCCATAAATCCCATGAAATTTTCAGCAAGCGAGAGTGCTGTGCCACATTTACCGTTACTGATGTCATATTAATGTCGACACCGCATCCAAAAGTGCAGATTGTCGCTGAAAATCTGCATTGACTACACTGTACAGTTCTTGACATAAATTTATACCAGCAGCTCAAACATATGGACCCAGATTATTGTTTTCACTAACCCAAATTATTAACCCACCAAATATAAATATTTCATGTCGTAATTATGAATGATTTTTAATACCAAAATCAATACTTAAAGCCTCAACTTTAAAATTTCCAAAAAACGAGTTAAGCTCTTATACGTTTTGACAAGCTTAACTCGTATGCTAAATTCATTCCTCTAAACTTTCCACCCTGCTCACTATTTCAGTCGCTGTAATCACTTTTTTGTGTTGAGTACTACAAAAAAATTCTCTAATCCACTGTGGTGCTGCATAATGCGACGGAGCTTATTGAGATTTATGCTATGAGCGCACATTTGAATCACACACATATAACGGTATATACAAGCTGATGTATGCCTGTCAAGCAATTATCACCCTCAGTGATAAGGCATATTGTGTGGTCACTTCCAGTGGGGTTCCATAGTGTAAACTATTTCATGCCTAGTATAATTCTACTAAAACAAGTCATTTATAGGCTTATTTATTGGAAAATTATTTTCGGTTGAGTGAGGGCTAAGATTATGTCGGTTTGTGTACTTACTATCGCTCACTTTATCGCGTTTATACCCGGCGTGTAATGTCAATGTGTTGTAAGACATTTTTCGACACTTACTACAAGAGTTTGACAGTTCAGCTGTGTAGTGGTAATGAAAAAATTTCTCTATACAGCTTCATAATATGAGATTAAGTTTCGAATCTTGCGAGAACTCATGATTGGAATTATATCCAATTTGAAGAATATTTCTTTAGTTTGCGACGCAAAAATTTTGTCTGTCAATAAACTCGCGGGTGCGCGGCACGGCAGCATGGAATTTTTCAGTTTCAAAAGCCGAAAAGGATCACAGCCAAATCTGACGAATATGATGGGTGAACGATGACTCTCGTTTCGTGTTTGGCCAAAAACTTAGTCACAATCATGCTAGAATATGGCGGCGCATTCAGGTCTGTTCGTATGAGTCTACCATTAACACGCTTCATACCCAAAACAATTACCAAATAGTTGAATCCTCTGATATCTCACTGATGCCAAGCATAATAGAGGTGGATAGACTCGCATAATCTTGAGGTTTATTATATGTACATATGTATGTATATAGTATGTTGAGCTCAGCACAAATATAAACCTGTTTAGGAATCGATAAGTGATTTCGAAGTCGAATTCAAAATCAATAACGCTCATTGTACTGCAGAATACTTTCCAAAATCAGTAAAAACAAAGTTGTTGATAAAAAGTGCAGCTTCGAGAAAACTGCACCGGGTATATAAATTGTATTTCCTCTCTTCGGCACACGGCACCACGATGCTCTCGTTAATTTTTTATTTTTTCTCATTTGATGCTTGCATGGAGAAGTGAAGTCTACATTTCGTTTTTATTCATTTTTTTTTACAGTGGCATTTGCTATCACTCACCTACCATAATCGCCACTATTTATTTATGTATGTACAATGTGTAGACAAGTTATTGTTTACGATATGCACTCGCTTAATGTATGCCTTTCAATGAGTCGTTAAAATAGACTAAATTGTTTTTAAATTTCCAAACAATAAATCATGTGCACTTAAGCTCCGCTTGTCAGACGATAGAATTACACTACTTTTATGATGGACTAAATACCGGTGTACATAAATACCTACATACGAATACATATACACAATGTCGTACATGTAGACATACAAGAAAATATGTTTGTTAGTGTATGGATGTGTGCTAGTTTACTTATGCAAAGTCATGTAAAAATCTGATTGTTTGAGTAAATGCTCATCTAATTTACAAAATGCATTATTAAACTGTGATTAATAACTGCAAATCGTGTGAAATGGCAGGGAACATATCCGAATTGACTAATCTCTTAACTCAATTCGATAACTCGTATAAGCAAAAACAAGTTTTATTTTCTTGAAATTGCTTAGAACCAGTTTCTATACCTGAAATGGTTCCATGATTATAATATATAATATCAATAATAATAATCACATAATAATAATAATCACAATAATATCTAATACATTCCCATTTGAACAGCATTTCGACAAATTGTAAATTTTCAGTTGATAACGAGTTTTCTTGATATACAATACCTTTTTTTAATGTTTTAAGCCCTTATTTAGATTAATCGCATAACAACTGTATAAGGCGCTGAAAGACACTTTTGGTTTAAACTTAGTATGGTAAAAGCACCAAGATATCCTTATTCATTGCCCTCATATTCTATATACAATAGTAAGCGTCATCGATTCGCCACTTCTTTGATCGGACATATTGACCTCACTTTTTAAAAAAATTTTATGGAAAATATTATAATAACGTCAGTCTTACATTATACCAGTTGGGTGTTCGATTCGTCACTCTTCAGACTTTAGTAACCTAGAGAAAACAGCTTCACAACAGAAGTAATCCTGCAACGCAAGGAATTTTCTCGTTGAAAACGATCGAAAATACCACTCATAAAATATTTAAAAAGAATAACGAGAAATAGAGAGACGAAGAGGCAGAGAGAAGAAGAAATAACACGCAAAAAATGTTCAATGAATTATAAACCAATTTATATAGCAAAGTATAAATTAAAAAGAAAAAAAACTTGTAATATGATGTTCCGAGGAAAAATTTAAAATGATTAGATAACATTTAATAAATTCACTAATCTAGGCTGCCCTCACTGCCTGCATTCAAATCGTTTATCGTTTATTAAAAGAAAACATTGTATGTCGTATTTTGTTATAAAAGTCGTCTTGTTTTATATATTTTACATTTATTGGAAATAATCGACGTATTTTTTGATTTGGGAAGTCGATTTCCAGGTTAATTCAGATGCATTGCTTTTACTTTATTGGTTTGGTTATACTTTTTTCTCTTTGTAGTGTCTAAATTAGCTGTAATAAATTTCCCTGTTGACAAACAGATGGCGCTAAATCAGAGTCGCACAGGGAGATTTCGAATAGATTAGCTTCAAATTTCCTCAGTGATGAGATTAATAATTGTCATTTTAGTATGACGAAATCTTGCTAAATCTAGTAGATCAGTGAAAAAATCTGCTCAACAGCCCAAATATCGTGATTAAGTGTCGGTTGAAATATGGTATAAGGATATAATAATAAAGTATTTTCAGATAAAAATCGTGATTATTTCATTTTTTCTAAAACTAGTTTAGATTAGATTAGATTCAATTTCTTCTAACTCCTGGGACGGAGGAAGCGAATTAAAACCAACACAACCTTTCACTGCATGTCTGTAGGTGGATTATTCAAGATATTTCAAATATAGCTAAAGACGACATATTCAATAAAGATATGTTGAGATCGTTCTACCACGAATTTTTACAAATAAATAACTTCGACAACTAGCATTCAATAATATTTTTAACCAGTTAAAACCTCTTTATCCATAGAAATGCGCACCTTGTTGAGCGTCGAACTTATTCCTTTATCGATTGACTAAGACTGGTTGATTGCAGGAAAATTTCTGAAGGATAAAAACACTAAAAACATTAGTTAAAGCCATAGCAAAAATTATTATTTATCATAAGTTTTTCCTTGCTAGATAATTGTAGTCACGCACTCAACTCAGTCACCTATGACAATCGGCACAACAAAAGAAGGAAATGATTTCTCATGCCTTTATGTGATATACATATTCATACAAATATAAAACGTTCATATATGATGGATATATGTAGATATCTCTACATAAGGAAAAAGAAAAACGTGTGGCACAGCGTAGTGAAATAAAATAGGTGAGCAAAGGGAATAGTATAATAAAATGCTCAACTTATAAGTAAATAGAAATGGTCGCTTGTATAGAGAAAGTACACGGCATGCCACTAACATATAAGGTCCTTATACAATGTATCACTTCACATGAGGTAAACACAAAAGTAGGCTATCTCAGCTGCCAAGCATCGGGGCAAAGTGGGGTGAGTGAAATGTTGACGGGCTGGCAAGCTGTGATGGGAATTTTGCGTTATGTAGCGGGAATGAGTGTCATGCTGTGGTTTGGGGACGCGTGGCAAAAAAGTGAAAAAACAATTTTCACGGATCACGTTGCCCATCAAAAATGGCAAGACGAATTTTCGGCATAAAAACTACGTATAAGGTAAAACATTTTGGCGTTGTAGGAAAGTTCTCTGAGAGTCTCTCGAAATTGTGTCAACTTGAAAATTTGGGTTCCTTTGAGAAAAATTTTAAACTCTGGAAATAATAGTAATGAAATAGTAGGTTTGTTTTTGATAGCAAAAAGAATTCACATCACACAATTTATAAAAGAAAATGTTCAGATTTTAGGAGAACATACATATTTCGATATATAAAAAAATTATTTTAAGTAAAAAAATTATATAGTAGAGTGAACTTTAGTTGAAAAATGTACTCACCAATTAAAAGTCAGTTTGTGTGAAATTTTTCGCACAAAATTCTAACAACAGTCTTTATTTGTTACAAGCACTCTAGAAAATAGTACAATGTTGCAGTTCTTGCGTTGTAAAATTAATTTTTTTATTTTATAGGTTTATGCCTTTTTTCGCTTTTTTCAAACTCTATATAACTTCACTGCCAAATTGTAAATATTTGCAATTAGGGGCTGGCCCACAAGCATTTCACTCAAATCTACAATATATAATTTCGCACTCCAGTATTTTTAAACATGAACCCACATTTGGTAATAAATTTTCATGTTTTCAAAATATAGTAGCATACTTTCTAGCGTGCAGTTATTTTACTTCGAATCCTTGTAGAGTATCATAAATGGCTGACACTAAAAAACATGCACAAATTTTTCATAATTAACTAAGATTCATATTATTTTTTTATTATAGGTATGTATATTATATTACTTAATTTTTTGCAATATTCAATTCAGCACAATTATTAGTACTTTCTTATTTTTTAAACCACAATTGAAATATACTGTAAGCTGTACAGTACATTTACTTAAATCTCTCACTATTAAATGTTTGTTGCTTTCTCTTATATGCATATAGATTATTCCATACACTATAGCTTCTTTACAAACACACCATTGTACATATGTATTTATATTAACTACTTTAACCAACGCGTTCACGGCTGGCGATTTTCGCAGCGTATTTATCCGCTTTTGGTCTCAACACGACAACGTCTCAAACTTGACTGAGCCGAACATCCTTTTGAATAGCATTTTTAAAGTGTTCTACATGCTGCTATGCACACGAAGCGCTTATGAATGCCTATGCCACGATACTCATAACAAAAATAAAACAAAGCTGGAAAGACTCCCCACTTGTGGAGGATGAGTGTGGCGAGTGGAGCTTCGAAATACCGCTAGTCAATATGTGTATTTGAAATATTTTTACTTTATGATGAGTTTGTTGATAACTTTAAATAAAAATTTCGCTCTCGCAAACACTGCACGAGATTCTCAGTTAATGTTATCAAATCTATGTTAAAGCGTAAAGCTTTTACAATGTTCTGAGCTGCTGTTACTGGTATTGGTCAGACGTTAATATTCTTTCAGAAATTTTAAAAAAAATATTTGAATATCTGCAAAGATTGTGTTTCAGTTTTATCGCAAATTATATCAGCTTAAATATTTAAATCATTTTTAGTGGAAATCAAGAAAATGTAGTCAAACTAATCTAATTTTTTTGAAACTTCATATTAGAGAACAGAGTAATCCTAGAGTTCACGGACGATTTTATAAGAGGATTTTCGATCTCATAACACACCGATAAATATCGCATTTTTATGTGCGGTGCAGAATTTGTCTGTTACAAGTTTTTAGGTTTCTCGGACACCTCTGATAAGTTGTCGAAACATTTTGAAAAGTCCGATTAGAATGACTCCAAGACATGATCTTCAATATGAGAACTTCTTATTTTGGTATCGAAAATCTTTGACTAGGTAGCTTAAGGGATTATATGGGTCTTGTAGCTTAAAAAACTTGTTCAAATGTACAATGTGTTAGGAATATTGTCTGAAAATTTCTAGAGCTGTTTCGAGCCAAATTTCCAGATATGTACATATGTAGGCGTTTATAGCTCGCAATTACGGTCGCCTCGTATCGACCCGACTCGTCGTGACTTTAAACGGATTTTTCTCAAAACTGCTTTTTTAAGGTCGGTAGTCAAAATTTCTTGATAACTTATTAATCGATCGGCTTTTTTTTAATCATTTATAATCCAGTTGAGAGGGTAATACGTGGCCAAGTTTAGTGCAAAAGTGCATATAAATTGCAAAAAACATGAAATTTTCAAAATTTCTTAAAATTCTTAGTTCAAGTAGTAGCTAAACTCACCTCTTAAAAACCAAACTTTGGTGTTCTTATTTCAGGCAAAAATTACCTAATTACCTGACGCTGACGTTAGTTAAGTCGTAGTCAATTACATTATATACACAGAGTAACAAGAAAAAAACATAATACTAATGTTGTAGCTTAAAAAAAATCAATAAAAATTACCTTTTTTTAACATATTAAATTTAAAAACATGATTCTTGTATTTTTGTTCTTTCGTTCGTCATTACCAAGTGGTTAATAATAATGGTTAATAATACCAAAATGCTAAGTGATCATTTACCACGAAGATTTTGAGATATGTGTACATCGTTGTTGTGACATACCTCATCTTCTATCACCCAAATTCTGGACTCGTATTTATATTTCGATTCTGCAGTCATTACACAGGATCCAATGGTTGGATTTTTTTTAATGGCGGAGTATACATCAATATTTTTCAATTAATTTCTCTAAATATATATTTTCTAGCACAACCGCAAATTTCGGCCAACTCTCGTGAAATTCCTTAATAAACCAGAAGCAGATGTTAATTTCTTTGTTGGGTTATTGATGGTACTAAATGTTATTACATATTTGATCTCCACATAAATATTTTAGTTCACTCATACATTCCTGGCTTCGAATGCTCGTCGGAAAAAACGAAAAATGGTCGCTCTAAAACATTTATTTTAATATAAATTTTTGGTTTTGGGGAATACAACATTTTAAAACCACTACAAATAATTCAGCATATCGCAAAAACAAAACGTTTCAAGTACGATCAAGGGAATGACTATACCATTTATCAGATTTGCATATTCTTCATACAGATGGCGCCTACCTTCCTGAATAAGGAACTAAATCTACCTTTTATCGCTTAATTGTAAGTAAAAAATGTTTCCAGCAGCCAGTAACTTATTCAATGTTTGTAAATATTTCTTTTTTAACTCAAATGTACAAACAGACGCGTTTATATTATATACATATGTACTATGTATATCGTGAAATACTCATAGATTCGTTCCCAATATAAATAAGCGTAAGCTTTGTGCATATTGCTGATCTACTTGACTAAAAATTAGAATTTCTTTTTCAAACAAAATACTGAGTACTTAGAAGAGTATTATGTTCGATTATTTATTTTCGCTTATCAGTAAAAATGCTAATTCATTTGGTTTCAGAAAATGTCAAGTTCGGCAATTGCAATTGTATGTAAATATGTACTTGTTCATGCAAATCGGTTTATTTATTTTCATCTTATTAGCTAATTAGTGGGTTATTATCATTAAATAAATAAATAATATATGCTTAAATTTTGCACATTATATAAAGTTTAATTATATTGTCGGATTCATACATATGTACAGATATACTATAATATACACTCAATATCAAATTTCACTCGAACAGATCTAAATAAACTGCTCCCGCAAACCCCATCGATAAAAAAGTTCTCTCTTAGATTGATATATCCTTTTATTTATTTATGTTCGTATGAAGTTTGATCTCCACTTTTCGCGTCGCAAATAGTTGCCAGTCGCTCACTAATTAACGTATTGTACCGATTCGGTATACGAGCGCAGTTTATATCGATAAGTCCGAGTCAAATTTGATCTTGAGTGTATATTATAACATTCACTTAAAATTTGATCAGCAATTTGAATTATTTCTGAATATTCAGTACTATTGTGTATTGATACTTATATTCAGATGGTTTTTCTTTGTTTGAAATATGTGGGCTGTGTAGTAATACTGGGTTTAATCATATGCTGACTGCTTAATATAATGTTCCTTTATTGTTAAATAATCAATATCTATGACTTCGACATCAATATCTGACCAAAAATGTTTCGCACTAGTTCCTAAATAAGACACTTTCTACCTAGTCTCAATTGGCACAGTTGTCTCCGATCTTTATGGTCTCACAATAATCCAAATTAGCCATAAGGATATTACAGAAGATTTTATTTTGGATCAGTTTAAAAAACTTATTAGTTGAAGGAAATAGAAATTATCCAGATAATCTCTTCATTCAACATTTCATAAATTAAAAAATTACTTTTACTTCAATTAATAACGGGTGTCTTTTTTAGACGTGTGGTTTTCTATGAGCCAATACTTTTTCCAGTTTGTCTTTCGAAGAGCTGCTACTTGATTTATGCTCAGTTTGGTTTACATTTACATAAACAAAACTATCACATTTGGTGTGAAAATAATCAACAAGCCAATGTGGAGACGCAGGTCCATACATCCTCAAATAGTCACTTTTTAGTGTGCGCTATGGGAAATTATTGGTCCATATTTCTTCAAAATTGAAGCCATTTATAATATAAAATAATAAAGTTAAAGGTATAGAGCCATGATTACTGACTGAATTGTAGGATGTTGAGGTGGACGACCTTTGGTTCGAACAAGACGGCGATATATTCCATACAACAAACGAAACAATCAATTTATAGAAGGAAACTTTTGATGACCACATTATCTCGTGTCGTGGGCCTGATTGGTGGTCTCCAAGATCGTCCGATTTAACACCGCGGGACTAATTTTTGTGGGGTTATGTGGTTGTGCCCATAAGTTCGAGACGTTTGACGCCAGGGAAAAGAATACTCGGCACCGGTTAATATATCCCTTCATATTCAAAAAACCAACCTAAAACTGACTGCAATAAAGTGACGATTCACGTTCTAAATATCATCCATAGCCAAAGAAATAGACTACTTTATTTAGGAAATACAAATAATCTATCTATCACTTCAAGCACCAATACATAAATTAATAAATAATTTTCCTTCAATAAATATTAAGAATAGTAGTAATTAAAAAATAGTAAGAACTAAAAAAGTACTACTCGATTTGGAACGAAACGTACTATTTAACCAATAGATATAACAGCGACCCAATTTCTTCATAGAACATAAAACTCATTAAATTGCAAAAGAAATATTGATATTGAAACCATTAGTACTTGGGACAGCCCTACTCTAGGTATGAGCATATAAAGTCCAAAGATTCTATTGTCTTGTAGATATGACATTTCAGAGCACAGCTTTTCTAAATAAACATAAATGAGAACGGAGTTGTTGACTTCAAAATATTTTTTTAATATTTATTAGAATTCAGTTCACCTTATTCAAAATAAAATTTTGGTAACAACACGAAGTATTTTAGCAGGCAGTTCGATTCATAAGTAGTTATAAAAGGCAAACATCATTAAAATATGTCAATTATTATTGGCAACACCGTCATTTAAGCTCACTCAAATTATATATGTTTCCTTTTTGTAAAAATTACAATAAATTATATGTACTTCAACATACTCACGTGTTTAAATAAACAAACAATTTCACTTGAACACACACACACACCCTCTATTTAAAGAAAACGCGCAATATTGCTTAAAACAATCAAAACAAATCCAGTCAAAGCCTGCTGACCTATTGCTGTTCTGTTTTTATTTTCATTTTAATTGGTTTTTTTTTACTTCATGGTTTGCCTGTTATCTTTTGCCGCTCTCTTCGCCTCACTATACAAGTATTTCTGAACATTTAATAGTTGTAAGGGCCCGACTGCGGCACAAACAAGTGAGCTTATCTCGAACAGAGCAGTTTTAGTTGACTAGAGGACTACTTCAGCCGTTTGTTCCGGCTGCGGTGAGAGGGAGAACGGATATGGAAGCGTTAAAATGAGAATGCGATGGTGATTTGGGACCTACACTCGGCCAATATGAATAAACGCGAAAGCGAGAGAGCGAAAAATCGATCACACCAAGCCGGAGGCAGCGCAGGTCTGTCTATATGTACACAGGTGCGTGTGTTTGTCTTGGGTTGCAGCTGTTTTTTATCGTATTGCAAAAACAACGACATGAAGAAAAAAGAAATGTTTATACGCACACATACATACATATACACACGCACTCACATATACTTAAATACATGTAAAGATGTGCGTCTATAAACTTGCTTGCCGCATACGAGTTCTTTAGTTCGCTACAACGACCGAATTTCTAGCGCCGTACGCCGTAAAGTATGCTACGTTTTTTGCTGTTCTTAAAGTTTACTAAATGTTTGTGCAGCACAAAGATGTTTCACTTCGACCGAGTTGTCATGCTTTGGCTACTTGTTTATTTCTTTTATTTAGCAGTAGTGAATTCTTTTAATTTATGGCACAAAATTAACTGTTTTTGAAGCTGTCACTAATTTTTAAAATAGAATACACAGAAATTGCAAATTACATAATTTATAACTGTTGTTTATTACACTCACTGCGGTTTGATAAGCTTAGTTCATACAATGGTGCCTTATTGCACAAAATTACACGGTCTAATACTTGATTTAATACATTTTTTTGTTACTTATTTTTTCAAAAAATTCCCACTCTTCACATTTAAACGTAACAGGATATTTCAGCGTTCAAAGTTTGTATTATTTTTATATTTATTTTACACTCCGCTGATGACCCGCTAACTTCAGCACTAACCGCGTCGAGAGAACACTCACGATTGAATTGCACCCGGGCAGGGAGCATACTCAGGTCGGTAAAAGTTATTAATTTTTCCGCAAAGCTTTTATTTGTCTGCTCACATCAGCCGAACGCCAACCACCTGCCAGCTGCAAGATAGCCACCAACAGCCCCCCGTCCGCTCACTACTCATATGTACACTGGTATTAGTGTGCGTATAACAGTTTTTGCTATGCTTTTCACTAGTAATTTTGAAATCTCAGAAATCATGAGCAACAATACAAATAAACTGCTTTGCTTTTTTCTCAGTTCATGTTAAAATATCTGTTAAATTTACGCTCTCTTTGCTTGCCGTGCTTTTTTAATGAGCTTTTCTACTAACGTTTAGCTTTTCTGTTTATATTTCAGTGCTTAGCGAATAGCTTATATTGTTTACACCGATGTTTTTAGTACTACACGTGGTTCTGATGCTCTGTAAACTATTGCGGGGTTGTCAATTCTCATATATCAATCCGGTGTTAATTTTTGGTGTAAGCCCCGAATTAAATATCTAAAAGAAGTAAAACTTAAAAAGTAAAACTTTAAATACTCTGCTATATGTCGGTGTTTAAAAAAAATGTTTGCATTTAACTCAAAAACTATTGAAAGTATCGACTTAAAATTTTAGTATGTTATTCCTAAGAGTTAAAATATAAAGAAATCGTCTTTTTTAACTACTACATCAATATATCATTCATTTAACATCAATATAATATAATTAAATTTATTTTTGGAATTTGCTTCTTTTAAAATATCGGTACAGGTGGCAACTTTTCTAAAAAAACATCGGAACAACGGAAATCCTTTCATTTGATTCCGTTAATAAAATATGTATGTATGGAATTTATTTTAATATATATTATATATGAAACAGGTGGCAACCTTAAAAAAACATATTCGATGAAAATCCCTTATAAGCCGTTTAAATTATCACAAGTAGTATTAATACTTAATTTAATTTATCACTTTAATGTAATAAAAAAGTGTAAACAAGTGGCAATCCTTAATAAACATATATTTTGTGGCCGTTTAGAATCTACCCTAAGATATATACAAAGGATCGCAACTCTAAATAAAGTCTGAAACAGTTCTCGATATCCGTCTATTAGAATAAACAATATCAGGCGTTTTCTCAAACGCCTTTGGTGATGTAAAAATGAAATAAAATAACGTCTGATTTAAACTTGCAACTCGGCAGACCCTCGCCTTGGTTGTTATTTAACTTTAGTCATAATTTCGAAGTTGTAGACAAAATATTGAAAATACTAAGAGCAAATTAAGTAAAGTCTTCTCTTGATTACTCCTAATATGTTTTATGAAGAAACTTCAGTAGAAGTAGGGGACTTGATCAAAATTATTTTCGGCGACAAACCAAAGTATCGGGGAAACATTTAACAACTATTGCTTTAGGTAATGTCGTTCCTTCTTTTAAATACTAAATATAGAGTATGCTTTTATAACATTCAACTTACTCGACATCCAACACTTTTGAGTTTCTGCTTTTCAAAAGATATAACAACTAACTAGTTTATATGACGTTTATTCGGCATTTTTGTTTATAAGTTTTCCATATAGTATATATATATATGTATATGTATAAATATATAGTACAGATTTACATTTGTATAAGCATTATTATTAAATGTCAGTCTTTAGCATGGAGATCTGCATTCAAGCATGGCTTCAGCGCAATAATGTGGAAATTGTATGCATTTCAGAAGGAAATTGTTTATGCCCTGAAAAATAATATAATTATGAAGTTAGACGACCAATAAAAATATTTGAATACGATTAAGTTCGAGCGCGGTTTACAATTAATAATATCTAATACATATATACCCATATATACGTTAAACATTCGATTCTTAAATATGGATCGAAAAGTTGGCTCCATATAAGATTACAAAATGTCAAATGCATGTACCATATATTTATTCTTTGAGGCTTTTCGAACCTTTTCAGAATTATTACAATGCAATTGTTCCATTTACAATGTAATATAACTTACATTGCAGCATCCACAGCATGCCTCAAACATATAGAACAATATGTAAAAGAATGCAGCGAAGAAAGCCACAAAAAACGCGACGAAAAGTAAAACCAACAGCCATAAAATAAACCAGAGCGGGTTCTTCATAACGTAGTTGGTACTCTTCTCGGATAACTACTTTGACTTCTGCTGATAGACGCGTTCACTGAAAAGAAAATTTCGCTTAGCGACAGATAGCTATTTCTTAAAATTATTTTGTTTTTAAAAAGAATGTGAAGTAAAAAAATTGTCTGCACTCTTTAGAATGTATTGAAATGTCACAAAAGAGAATATGGAAACAGTGAGTGTTGCATTTTAATTATTTTTTTTTACTTCCAAACACTGTGGCGATATCTTGTTAATATTGTAGTTGCCAAGGTTGATATTTCTATATACGGGTAAATAATTTGGACCTCTTTACCGGAAATACGGATCTCCGATTCTGCTGTTGAATCTATAATATAATATATCATATAAAAACTATCAGTATATTGCGCGCCTTACAGACAGAACGAAAAGTTATTTTAAAGTAAAAAATTATTTTTAATGAAGATTCGATTTCATTATCCAACACCATCGAGCTGTAATAGTTCTTACTGGGCATTGTCCCAAATCTAAGAATTTGTTTGGACGCCAATTTGCCAAATTTGTATGGAAAAGTGAGATGAAAAATCCAGTCACTTTCTTTACCATTGTACAGCTTTTTCACAGAAAGAACATATCGGTAGTCATTCTTTCAGCCAACCAGGTGAACTGTTGTACGATCTCTCCTTAGTTCTAAAACAGGCCGCTTTATCAGCCATTACCCAACCATCAAGGCAGCTTCTTTTCACAATATATAGAGTTTTTTTTTTTAATAAAAGATATTGATTTATTTTTATTTTAGCGCATTTTTTATTACAATAAATTATTTTAGACTGAGTAGAAAAATATTTAATGTAAATCGCTAAATGGCCTCATATATGGTTTGGACAATACAATTTCATCCCCCAATATAACTTGTTAAGATTAAATATTTATACGTATTTATACACTAACAATACAAGAATAACAAAAGAAACAAGTACTATTTTACTTTAGACCAACATTTATAACGGTGACTTGCAGTCCTTCATACCTTCAGCGCAGTAGTGGGGGAATTGTATGCCTTTCAACAATAAGTTGTTGAAACCCTGTAAAGGAAATCAAATAAAATATAATATTATATATCAAGATAACATATAAAAAATATTTGTATAAAGTAAGGAAAGCCTAAGTTCGGGTGTAGTCGAACATTTCATGATCTCGAAATTTGCAAAGTTGAAGGGCGGGGTACTCTGATCTTCAGGTAACTTTATAATAAAATATGTTGCAAAAAAATTTAACATTCATTAATCGAAGAAATCAGACGAGAGGATAGAAAATCATTTTCGTTTGTTAAAAGCTCACACTTTGTTGCTCATTCGTGAATTCTTGTCCAAAAATAAAAATGTAACGCTGATTCCTCCATATTCGGCAAAAATGGGTCCGTGTGACTTTTTTTTTTTAAGTCGAATTTGAGGAGTGTTTCGACGATTGAAACAAGCGCTAGCATAAGTGCATAATATCGAATTGGAACTATTTTGAAGTAGACAACATTAATGCAGACGAATAAATAGATATGTTTTTCAAAAAAATAATATTCTTGTTATTTTTTAACACATCTCGTATGCGGTATAAAGTGAACTATAAGTTCGAAAACTCTTACATTAGGTATTTGGTCACTAGGGGAACTATTGACCCTATTTTACCCATTTTAGACAATGCTGTTGTCATACAATTATTCAATCCGTATTTCAATACTACACCTCATGGATTATTTTCGATATTTTTTTGGTAAAAAGAATCTGGGGTCTTGAAAGGTTATGGCCCGATTTCGACAATTTTTAAGCTTGAGATGGCACTAGAGGCACATATTTATTTCGATATATTCACTGCTGCCTGGTTTGTGTATTTTAAAGTGAAGCAATCAGATATAACCTAAAATTGTGTCATATGGGAACTAGTCGTGTTTTTGGTCCGATTTGCTCATTTTCACACCGTAATATAAGAATGTCACGATAATGTTATGTACTGAATTTGTTTGTAATTGGTCTAGCCGTTCTTGAGATATGGGATTTCAACTAAAGATGAGCGCTGCCACAATCATTGTTCAATTTTGAACCTATCTCTCTTCCTTCCTTCATACCATCTTGACAACATGTTGCGAAAGTATGAAAATATACTAATTTTGTCATCAATTAAAAGTCTGTAGTCAAGAGCTTTCTTTATTTATAAGCGTAGACTGTACTGATAAGCGAATAATAAGTGATATTTCTTATCTCTCACATTTGCTCACACTTAAACAACTTTGAACTCATTTTAAATTTATCATCGAAACTAAATTAAGAAATAAATATGGAAATTGGAAAAATTCAAAGAGGAAGAACTATCATGATTCACTCCCTTATCTGTAAAAGTGTTTCGCACATGCGTTACAAATGACACAGTGTTGAATAAGTCATAGATTCATATTGATATCAATCTTATATAACAACCGGCCCGTTAGTGCGTAATGAATACGCCGTTATATGCAAACTGCTTTATTAAAAGACTGTGAGTGATGTCATGCGACAATTAATGTCAGGTTATTTACGTCTATCAGATAGCTGACTCACACATATTATTTACATCCTTACACATGCGAGCATCAATAGCACTAAGACGTCAGTCTAAGTTCATCTCATGTGTTCTAACTATCTTAAAATAACCAATGTCATTTTTTGTTGGAATTGTAAGAGAAATATATACATATAAGTAGAGGTTTGAGATTGCCTGACTATAAGCACACATTGTTTAAAAAAAAATATGACAATAGATCTGATGTTCCATACAAGAAACAATTTGTCACTGAAATTTATAACATTATGAAGGTTTTAAGGCAGACCTAACAAGATTTAACATTAAAATTTATCAAAAGTGTTTTGTTTTCCATTTATACCAATCAACTGATAGTAAGGTCGTAAAATTATTACTATTTTCCTTACTCGGCTTAACTTAAGTCCGACCAAGAGCTTTGCTAAAGCTTAGATCGTTCACCACTTTTTATACTGCTATGAATAGATATATATACTAATATTGGAATAATGAGGGTGTAAACAATTTTTTACATGATGGTTATGACATAACTGAAAAGCAGGAATAGGGTATATTTTATATATCGGCATTTAGCAACCCCCGTGTTGCAATCTGGCAACTCACAACTTTATCGTAAAGTTTGACATTTTTTATGTTATACATATTCAGAACATTTTGGCATACGAGCGTTATTTTTGTTGTTAACAGTAACTTAAAAGATTCATCTCGGCCAAAAAATGAAATTAAAGCGCGAACATTTTCTCGCGATCATTTTTTGCAACTTTCGAGATAGATTAACGGAGCAATAGTACATCGATGAACTTAATTCAATTTTTGGACATGAAGCTCCATCAAGGACCAGTGTTTATCGATAGTGTGGTGAATTCAATCGTGGTCGTAGATAACTCCAAGACAAATTTCGTGAGGATCGTCCAAAATCAGTTGTTGTTTCGGAAACTATTGATGCTGTGCGCAAAATGATATGGCAAGATTGTCATCTGATCTATCGTGTTATTGAGACAACTATAGGCAGAGTAGTCAAAAAAATTCTCGTGTTGATTACGGTGCTTCGAAACACGACTATGTAATTGTGACAGGTGATAGATCGTGAGTTTACGCGTATTAGCCTGAAAGTAAACAGCAGACTGTTTCCAGATGAGACGAATCCAACAAAAGTTGTTCGCGCACTTCCAAGCAAATCGTTGCCTATTTTTTTGGAAAATCTGGACATGTCAGAACCATACCACTAGAACTACACAGAACAGTTAATTCTGAGTGATACACAACAATTGTTTTGCTAGTTGTCTTTCAAGAATTCAGGAAAACCAACCGCCGAAGACGAATCACTCTTCACCACGACAATACGAGCTCTAACACATCGACTGAAACAACTGCTTTTTTGAGCTCTCAAAACATCGATTTGTTGGGTTATCCGCCGTATAGTTGGCAGCGAATGACTTCTTCCGAATGATTCCGTACTTAAAAAATAAACTAAGAGGTCAACGTTTTTCGACACTTGAAGGGGCGGTTGATGCGTTCAGTAATCATGTTCTGAAGACACCTCAATCAGAGTGGCAAAAGTGCTTCGACAATTGAATCAAACGCATGCAAAAGTGTATTAATGAAGAATATTTTGAAAAAAAAAAATAAAGCGATTTTTGAGTATTAACATTTGTTGTTGTTCTCTAATCCCGAAATATAAAATGCCTACGTAACGTGCAAAAGCGTGGCCGCTCGCGCCGCTATCAAACTTAAAGGAAGCGGATATTGGGTTCAGTAGATTAAGATACTCTGGAATTCTGAATTTCATGAATGATGATTTGAAACTAGATGATAAGGTGAGTGCTGGAATTCACTAAACCTCAAACTTATCTTCCACCATATACATAAAAGCTTGAGACTGAAGTCTCAAGTAAAAGTCAGAGTTGGGAATGTTTGGCGTCAAAAAATAAATAAAATCAGAGATGTATTGGGCACCAGAGTGTAAACCACAGTACAATATATTTATTAGTTATTGAAGAACACTGTGCTACCTTCTAAATCGGTCTTCCCAACTCAACATACAGTAACCATGCGTCGACAAACGAAGGTCACTCCATCTACTGAAGTTGACCAAACCAAATAACCAAATAACTTATAGGTACAGTTTCATAATTTATATTAATACTCACCGATAACCCACTAAACAGCACTTCCAACACGTAGCATATTATGTATAAGAACGCAGCGAAGAAAGCCACAAAGAATGAGATGAACCAGAAGATTAAAAACCAAAAGATAAACCAAAGTGGATTACCCATATTGTTTTACTGTGGTTGCGGTCGGGTGTCTATAGCTTTCAAAAGCTAGTCTTGAGTGAGATGGAAGTTTGTGTTGTTGTTATTGTTGTAGTAGAGGAGTACGAGTTTTATGCTCTCACGCGCTTCGCAGTCACAGTGGCTAGGTGTTGCCGTAGGTTAAGGTGAAGAATACTGACGTTCAAATGTAGCAAACAAGTTCTATGGAAGAAGATAAAAACAACAAGAGTATCGTATAACATTGTGATTTTTACATATCTACGAGTATTGTGTGAGCATAAGTATATCGTATATGTACGTATGTATGTATTTCATATTTATTGCAATGGAATTCATGAAAACGATTAAGCATAGATTTACATAGATTTAATAATTCTAAATAGTTAAAAATGAATTTTCGATAACTAACGGTATTTCAAATATAATAAATTGATTTAAATACACTCATATATATATATATATATGTATGTAGACACATGTACAAATATTTGAAAATAATTTATTAAACTTTTTTCGTATTTCCCTTAAAATAGTCATAAGGCGTTCAATTACACATACAAGCATATGTAGGTATGTAATTATGACATTTCACCTCAATTTCATTGAGTCACTAAATTCCTGGTCTTATAGCATTAGTTGTTAACACAGTGATAAGATAAAAGTACTTAAAGAAGTTTACGCAGGTGTTTCCGCAAGAATTTCGAAAATATTTGTCCTACAAAAAAGTAATGAAAAATCACAAGAACAATATGTGCCTAACATATTTATCAAATAAAAGACAAACAACAACAACATAGTCATTAGATATTATATATACATAAATATTTAGCAAACATTAGTCCGCCTAAACTGGCTGCGAAGGGTCTGCACAAGGAATAAACGGCTGTGCATAGATTGACATACTTATGTATATAAGAGTGCTACTAAAAATTTAATTTTTTTCAAGTCTTCACTGTTTCTATTTGATGTACCATAAACTTGAAATATACCATCTGATCAAATTTGAACCGAACTGGTCCATATAGAGATATAGAATAGATGTTCCTTGATTGGTACAAACCCTTTTATATTCGTGAGAAGTTTGATCTCCATATGTCAATTAGTGTGTGCTTGGCAGCTGTTTGTTTACGAATCGCAATGTTTGTAAGGCGAATTTTGCTATGGAAAAAAATTAAAAATTGAAAATGAGTTTGCTTGAAATTTTGTGTTTCCAAACACGGCTATTGAATCATTGACGAAGAGACAGAAGTGTTTTAGGGAGACTACTTTATAACGAACACAAGTATTTGAGCACAAAGCATTCATTGAAGCTCGTGAAGTCATCGAATACTGTCTTCATGAAGGTCGTCCATCTACCCCTATTAAGGTCGATAACATTAAAAAAGTTTTAAGAACCTGCGCCTGAAAATCGTTGTGTTGTCATCAGAGAGATAGCAGAAGTTCTCAACATCTCTTATGGATCAACTCATAAAATCAAAAAATGTATGAAGTTGTTAATGACCTGAACCTTTTGCAAAAATGACGGAGAGTAGGGATCGCAAAATAGATACTTGACAACGAAACTGACCAGTGCTCTAAATATGAACCAAAACCGAAAAAAAGTAAAATTCGCTGAAAGCACCGAGGCAAGCCCAGCCGATGCTTATAACAAGTGTATGGAAACTTAGATTAAAGGTTGGCAAGTTTGTATTGGGCCATATTTTGAAGGCGAAAATGAAGGTTTGTATTTATATACGTAAAAGTATTATTCCTTTTTTGTCAGTCCGGTCAAATCTGATCAATTTTTATGTGGAGAAATTTAGTAATATTTATTAAATGACTGTAACTACTCTTCTTGTAAAGAGAATCATAGTTTGTCTTAAAGTTTACTTAAGCTCGACGGCTCAAGTTTAAGAATATAAAATGTTTTTTTGTAAAATATGTATTTACGTTAATCATGTGTAAATTCAAACGCGATTTTTTTCTCTTGTTAATTATATGAGAAATGAAAAAAATAACAGTTAATTAGAGTTGGACAAAAGGATTCATGTTTAGTGAAGATTTTTACATAAAATGGAAACATCTGAGAAATTATAAGTAATTTGAGGCACCCTAATTTACATACATGCATATTTTTGTGTATATTCAAAAATAGCCAATTAGCGCCTGTTTACTTGTTTTTAATACATTTTCAATTTCGTAAAAAAAAGTAGATATGTTTCAAAAACAGTAAGCAACACAAAAAAATGTTTTCCAAAACTGGAATTGTTAAATTGGGCATGCGCTGTGTGACCTTTCGCAGTCAACACAATACTCAGGCAACAGATCGCCAAATACGCTTTGACCCCGACTATGACTGGAATAACTAAACATTTGACTTGTATCTTTTTGTTTGTGTTAATTTCTTATTGGAAAATATTTTGCCGCACAAAATATCAAAACAAATTAAAATTCTTAAGTGGCAAGTGTTTGTGTTATTAACCGATACGACTTTGATATGCTAATAGGCCGATTGGAAACGACAAACAAGTAGCGCAGGTGGGCGGGCGACCGGGTCTAGCACCCGCGCGATGATGTGATCTGCCAGGAATTGAGTAATTACATATGCATTCCAAAGCGCTAAACGCATGTAGGTCAAATCGAGACCAAAGTTATAAAAAAACAACAGCAATGCGTACTTACATATATTCACATACACACATGCAAATATGTACGTAAGCATACAATTAGCAGTAACTGTTTATATGACAAGTCAATTGTTGCTGTCACATACACATTTTAATTGTCTGTTTTCATATTAACATTTTTAGTTAATTTTTAATAATTTTGTAATAAAATTATTTAATTCGCACACACCCAACCCATTCTTTATATGTATTTATGAGTAATTTCCATAAATCATTAATCTATTTTCTATTCACAACCATTTTTATTAGATACTTAATTTTGTTTATCATAGCACATATTTATACACATGAACTCATATACATGTATTGTATATTTGTACATATGTATATAAAAATATATTTTTACAACACCTTGCAAATAAATTATTGCTATTCTAATCACTTAGACCAATTGACTTTACACTTACGATCACAATATAATCAAATTGTCTGTCCGTACGTTGCTGTGGCAAAAATACTACTGACAAGAAGACGTCGAAGGAGTGAGTCGGGTAGTGCTTGAATGGTGACTGTTAGTTGAGCGATTGTTGCGATTTGATTTGTTGCGACTGACCAGCACTCTGAGCGCACATACTGTTTTCCGCTCTCTACTTTGGTGATCTCGCTGCAGTGAGTCTTCAAGAATTAGCGCTCCCATTAAGATTAAACCGCCTGTATACATTATACTTATATATGTGTTCATAGTGGGGAGAAACTCTTAATAAACTGTACTACATTATCCAACATTTATAAAATATATTCAAGTGTGATTTTCGTTTAATGCATGAATAGAGATTAGTACAAATAATCTCAACTCCCATGTTATAGAGGTGTACTTGTGTATTATACACGGTATAAGATATATTAACTCGTAGTGAATCTCTTCGAGGCAGTTTTTGAGGAACTATCAATATGAGACAAAACCCAAATTCAATTACCCGAGTGCAGCTTATGATATTAGAGGGACTTTTACTTTCTAGACTCTTTGGCATTCAGCGCGTTATTCCTGAGTTTCAAAAGTAGAGTAGAGTAGAATATACAAATTATCCGTCCGCTAGTTACCAGTCGAAATGTTCGAATGAGTCATCGAAAATTGAACTCAACGGATGGACCATCTGAGTTGTAACCGCAGCCAACAGAAATAAAATTCAAAAAAAAATGCCTATCTCAGCGAGATAGCTGAGACATTAAGCACTTCAAAAGGCTACGTGGTTCATATCCTACATGAAATACTGTGCGTGATTACTCACTACAGGCAGAAAACCCACCCGATCTACCCCTTGACTCTGCTGAAGTGCAATCCGAAGGATTCAGTAATGCACACTAGAGATTAAAGGATAGTCGAAACAATAAACTTCACGCAGAAAACCTGCTCCTATGAATGCGAAGGCTATGCTACGGCCGGAAAAGTGATGGTCACCATTTTCTGGGATTTACAAGGTATGATCTACGTCAACAGCCTGGAGAGGGACAAAATAGCCGCAGGACTCTACTATATCGATCTATTGGCGCAATTTTACAAGCGCCTTCCACCATAACAAAACACCGGTTTCACACCTCCGCCATCGCCACGGCCAAATTGTTCGAATTTGATTAAGAACTGCTACCCCATTCGCCACATTCTTCAGATTAGGCCCAGTGCTACTTCTTTTTATTTCTAAGATTGAAAACATGAGTCGTCGTACACAAAGCTTTCCATATAGCATGGAAAAGACTTGAATTGGTAATTAAGAAACGGTTAAAATCTTCATGGACTCAAGGGATATCGATTAAGCCATAATAGTGGTTCTAATATTCTAATGTTTGGCTAGGTGTTACTTTCTTAAGTTCATACATACTCAAGTGGATATATTTTAAAATTTTGAGAACATAAGAGACAATCGAAACAGCTTTGGGTTTTAACCGCTTGCCGATCCTCAAGACTGTAAGCAAAATTAGATGTCTCACATAATGCAATTAGCCCGAAAGTTAATCTGTAATATATTGTTGTTGGTTTTTCAGTTTTTTGGCAAACCTCAGCACATGGTCACGGATATGCTATTTTTATGCAGTAAAAAACGAATTGGACTAAAACTAAAACACTAAAATGCAACAAATTAATGACGTGTAGTCGAACTTGTACCCCTTAACCCTGAAACTAAGTAAAAACACATTGGCCGTGAAATCACTGCCGCTGCAGCCCACTATAAATGAACCCACTCGGCGTTGCAGCAAGCAATTGAATTTTGGTCGATTACTTGTCAGGACGTGCCTGTATTGGACGCTAGTGACAAAAAAGTTCCAGAAGCAATTTTAAACGTACAGAGGATCGGTCTTAGAGGTGGAATTGTTGGATCGCTGAGAAGCTGAGTTTCGTTTAACGCGTTTACAAAAGAAAAACTGATAACAGGTAGAGAGATATACCGTAATACTTACACAAATGTCTTTAACTTTTATCTAAAAAAAAATACCAACTAATCTTTAAAGCATGCGCGACCCAAAGAATAGACTGCCCAAGTACGAGTCGGACGCTTTCGACAATGTCGAATATGAGTTCCGTATGACGTACACGCTCGAGACCGATCGTCGCATTATGAGTTTCGTCGATTCACGTTGGGGTATCGAGGTAACCGGTGGGATTGATCAATTCGAACCGTTAACCATTATTAATGTGACACCAACTGGTATGGCACGCAGTGCCGGCATGCGCGTTGGCGATGAGATTACGCAAATTAACAATACGCCAGCGTTGGAGTTAACTTTTAAAGAAGCATTGGAGTTGTTCCGTAAAAATAGACGTTATGTGCGGGTTTATGTGAGAGGGTGAGCGAATGTTTGGTACATTTTTAACTGAAAGTTTAAAATTTTTTTTACTATTCCCTAGTGATGTTGAAGACGATGGCGAAGAGGACTGGACCTGTCACTTCTGGTTCAAACCACGTGAGTACCATATTTTATATTTCTAGTAAATTTGTTCCTTAAATCTTCATATAATATTTTGAAATAAACTAATTGCAGGCAAGCCATGGCGCCGCGATTTCACGCCCATCAAATGGGAGTTCCCATGGAACGATCGTCGCAAGCCGATCTACCGTGAGTCTAACTGTTTCATGGTGCCCAGTGTCATGGAGGAAAGAATTCGTCAACGTCGTGCTGCCACATCGGCGGTGCACAAAAAGGCTGAGCTTGAACCGCACACCCGTTCGCTAACACCATCACCGCGCCCTAAAAATCAACCCGGCGAAAACTTAATGGAAACTATGTTCAAGAAGTAAAGCTGCGCAAATATACAAATTTAAATAAAATGTTGCATGCACCAACCGATGTCTAAGCAGTGAAACGCGTTAGCAACTAATGCTAAAAAAAATAAGCATAAATGTGTGTGTGAACTTTGCAAGTACAAAATATATGAAGGCAAATATTTTGTTGGAAAAATTCGCCACGCATAAAAACGCCAAAGGTTTTTCATTCCAGTTCCTGAGACAAATATACATAAAGAAACAGGCGTTCGTTAAATCTGCCACAAACTCGAATAATGCTCACCAAAGAAGATGTGAACGATAAGGCGGTGTTAGAGGCTAGTCTATGACGCTATAGACACAAAATATCTACTTACATAGTTGTTAAACAAAAACGAAAAAGAAAGTAGTTTAATATAAATATAAAAAATTTTCAGAACCAACTATAAGTGATGAAATACAAGAAAGCACTTGTTATAAAGCTTTAATAGTTGTGTAACTTTATAAAAATGTGTGAAAATAATAGAAACAATAAAAATAATATTCAGCGTTGACATAAGTATAACTGTAATATGACTTTTCAATGTGTTTAAATAATGCAAATGAAATACTTTCTTGTCTCTTGCACACTCATTTGCATTTATAAAGCTACGTGGCTTTGCATGAAAACCACGAAGTGATTGCAAAAAGCACATCGTGATTCAAATAATTACCATAAATTTGAATGTAATCAAAGTAAATAAGCGTCAGCAAAGTTCTCTTAACAAACTATTTTGAAAACCATCAACCGATAGCGGCTCACAAGAAATTCAAACCTGCACGTATATTTTGGTATAAAAATCTCGTCATGCAACCTTCTCGAATTATTTAGTAATTGGTTATAGCAAATTTATTTTTTCATTTTTTCTTTGTAATTTTATTCAGTTTCAAATTTGAATTATATCAGACAAATGTGCTAAAAGTACAAATCGAAATTGTCTCTTTTACGTTTATAAATAAATAACCGTGGGAAATAAAGTCTATGCCAATTTTCTTTATGTGCTAATTGAACTTATTTATATTTCGTATCAATTAAATAAAAGCAACGCGAGAAAGCCAATGTCATTAACAAATGCATACAAATAATCCAAATGCATTTGCTTATTTTTATAAATGCACAATAACAAACACCAACTAAAGAGAACTAAAAATTACTTGAACAAGGCTACAAAACTTCTTTTGCTTAAAAGCAATTATGCTACAAAACTTTTTTTTTTCGATGAGCGTGCCTGCTTTTTAAGCAAATAAGTCGGCGTTATTAAATTCTTCGTAAATTTTATTTAATGTGCTTAGATAATAATTTAAAAATGCTTTATATATCTTTGTATTACTAGGTTTGTTACAAAGGTTTGCACAAACCATATATATAATGTACTGTTGGAATAATTCGTTGCGCGACAAATGAAATGGCATAGCCGAGGAAGTACTCAAAATAAATAATTTTACAATCCACGTATCTTTTTTGTTGTTTTGTTTTGCTTGTGTGAAAAGAATTTTCGCTAACCACTTCATTTTTTTTTTTTTTGCTGACAACCACTCAATTATCTTTTGTTTATGTTTGTAGCTTTTTATTCACTTGTTTATTTTAACAATTCTCTTGCGATTGATGATTTTGGTGTTGTTATTGATATTTTGATTGCGATGGCAATGACTGTTTGCGGTTTTCGAAATTAACTGTTGGCCCTCTGCTACGTATGTGGCCAGGTAGATACCCTTTTGCTTATATCTAACTGTGTGATTTGTGGCTGGATATTATTCGCGATGTAAAAGCACAAATATAGCTAAAATCGACAATATTGCCCACTAAAAAGAGAAATTAGACATTAAAATAGAAACAAATGTGACATAAAAAACACTATAGTACCTTCACTTTTGGATACTCATTCATGAATATAGTTATTATACCGACATATGGAAGAAACCCTCTGGCTCGACCTACAATATCTTTTTTCGTCAACCACAGTTGTCCAGGAGCGTAAAGACCTCGATCGTCCACGTTATTATTATCACCTTTAGTTAGGAATTTCACTGAACCATCTTCCCTACAATTTAAAAGTAGAATTTTTCCATATAATAATAGGCAATTAAATGTATAATTGAATTGTGTAGATTAACTCACTTTTCATGCAGTTTAACGACACGATGTACTATAGGTATATCTCTCCCTTCCACTTTGAACACAACAATTTCTCCAACACGCACTGGTTCTTCCTTGTAATTTGTTAAGAAAAGCAAATCTCCTCTATGAAAAGCCGGTTCCATACTACCACTCAGAACCACCACAATTGGCGATTCGCTGCCAGTAACCACCATTAGGCCCTTCCAGATCATCAAAGCCGATGAAACAATCATCGCAAAGCTCAATATTTGGTATAGGGACTAAAAACATTAGCGAGGGAAAAACATTAAAGAAAAATAATGCAGTTTTGTATACAATTGTTAAATGCATACGTGTAATCGAACAAAGTAAACCCTTCACACCACCAACTACTCATACATCAAAAATTTATAAATTTACCTGTCGTTTGTTCATTCTGTTAAAGTCGCGGAGCATTTCATCAAACTGCAACAGCTCGCCCAACCCCATTTTGATGGCTTTGTAGATTTACGTGTTTTTAACTTAAAATAGTACAAATAAAACTTTAATTTGTTATCCACACAATATACTCTTTCCGCAGATTTGTGAAGTTTTTGTGGCCGCTACCACGAAGTCGTCTTCTGTCAAACAACGCCGCGCGGACGCCTTTTGAACACGTCAGTTGCCACTTGCAGGGTTGTAAATTGGACTTGTACTAAAAGCACAAATCTTCGGATAAAATAATTAGTAAAGTTATGTCAGAGAATGTTATGATTATTCATTGATATCAATAAATCCCTGTTAGGAAAGGCACTATTCTCTTTTTTCTGAAAACTCCAATCAAGGAATTATCTAAAAATTAAATTTAAGTACAAGAAAGAAAAGATTATGAACCCAGTTGTGGTCAGAAATTCAATCAGACCTATTGAAATGCTTATATAAAAAATTTCATTTTATTTCAATACCCCTTTAAATCACAGAGGAAGTATTTTAAAAATTTTATATAACATTACACCATAATACATGTTTCCTACTTCTTATTACGGTTCAAAATTTTTTAAAATTAGCCGATAATTGCAGCGATATGTCCACGAAATTAATAAATCCGGACAACGTAAAGCCGGCTGTCGTGATCATTCCTGTCATTGTGAATGACCCTATTTTAAGTCAAATTCATGTGCATCGTAACCTTATACCATGTTCATGTGCATTTTTTCAAAATTTCAGAATCCGTATTTTAAGCTGTGCGAATATTAAGTTCAAATTAGCTTTTTCCAACTTTTGTTTTTTAAACGAAAAATATAATATTGTCTCCATTTTCGAGGCTATAATTAAAACCCATTTTTAGACTTGCCATACAACATAAACGCCAATACACAGCAAATGGGTGACAATAGATTGTTGGATACCACCCAGGTTATCAATGGTATTGCTGTGCTGCTCTCGTTTTTCGTAGGTTACAAATATGCCTTAAAAAAGCATGATGTCAACCAGGATACTGCCGGTGCAAGGAGTACTAATCAGGGCACAGGTGACGCTACCACCTCTGAGGGTGTGAGTCTATAGTCAACCTTAAGTGGTGCTTTAATAACCAAACTTTTATTTTTGTATTGCAGTTTTTTGCTAGCTTTAGCAACAATTACAAAATGGTATTGGTAGTGCGCAATGACCTGAAAATGGGTAAAGGCAAAATAGGTGCACAATGTGGTCACGGTGCTGTGGGTGCTTATCAGAAAGCTATGCAACGCAATCCGCGACTAGTACGTGCTTGGGAAAATACCGGTTGTGCTAAAATTGCACTGCGTGTTGAAAGCGAAGCTGAAATGATGGCCATTAAACGCGCAGCGGAAACGCACAGCCTGACAACATGTCTGATACGTGATGCTGGTCGTACGCAAATCGAACCTAATTCGAAAACTGTACTAGCCATTGGTCCTGCAACCGTAGAAGATATCGACAAAGTTACTGGTCATTTGAAGCTGTTGTAAATTGTTTCATATTTGATCAATCAAGATACTCTTTGCGATAGCAATACGCTTATCGTTTTAGTGTAAGCTCAACAGAATAGAATACGTATGCGTAATATTAAAATTTTATATTTAGAATACAATAAGGTGTTACTTTATATATTAACTTGATTAAAAATACATAATTTATTTAATTCTTATAAATACGGTTATTTAAAAATTGTAATCATGAATTTTTCATTTAGAAGTGCAACCAGTCATCGTCATCATTATCATCTTGATGAAGTTGTTCGGGCTTAGCCGTATCCATAGTCGTTTGAACTTCATTAGCCTGTGGCTCATTCATGTTATTTTGTAGGTTAGCATCAATGCCGTCATTAGCCATTTCACCACTATCATTGAACACTTCATGTTTCATGGAGACATCAGCAACGGTGTCATCACCACCCCCATCTTCCTCGTCACTCTCCGAAATGGCCAAGTCTTCATCTATGCCGACGTTATCATTACTTGGCATTATTAGTGGCATCTGTGGCATAGACGTCATATCAGCTGGCATTGCACCATCAGTCATATTGGCATTCATTTGGAAGTGTGCTTGTGCTTCATCATCCTCCTTACCATATTGCATATGATTTTGTGTTGATTGCAAATCTTCAGTCGCATTATTGTGGGCGGGACGGTTGCCGAAATTTAAGAAGTCTGATGGATCATAGTTGGGATCCAAATCCATTGAGTCATCTAAAGGAAATATAATGGTAACAGGTTAAAAAATAGTACTCAAGTAAATTAAAACAAGCATGCTAATAAGATTGCATTGGTGAGCGGTGCAGTAAAGTAAAGGAATAAAATATAACGGGACGAAATTTCAAACAAAAAAATAAAAATGCTGAACGGAGATCGGTGAACGGTGGTAAAAGGAAATGTGCAGAGAACCTTGCTGCTGTTGAGTGTAGAACCCAACGCCACTCAATTGTACCATCGCCTCTGCGGCTTGTTGGCTGTCATCCTCGCATTGTTGCTCTGCACCTTCTTCCTCTGACACAGCAGCGTGTTATTTGTTTAGAAACAAAGAGTTCAATTACTTTAAAGGCACTTGAAATGCATACATACAAATTTAAACTAAAACTGCATATAGCTATGCCTAAGTTAGAATCTTTTGTTATACAAATTTCACACATTTTGTTAGAAATCGCTCCACTCACCGTTGGCGAGCGGCGGAGGCTCTATTTTCATCTCGGTTTTTATATGCGACACATCAATTTGATCCATGCTCATAGCGCCCACAGTGTCCATGCCACTGTCGTTCGGTTGTATGCGTTCGCCTTGATCGAGTATGCTGGCGGCATTATTCTCATCCTCTGATACTTCCTGAAACTCCTCATCATCCGTTGAGCATTGCAAATCTGGTCGTTGTGAATTAATAAATTTTAAAAATTCATGAGTAATTAAAATGCGTACACAAATAAAGCGGCGTGTGGTTGCTGTACAACTAATTCATTGATAAATTACAACAGTTATAGTAGTAGGCGGTACAATAAAATACAATAAATTTTAGTGTGATTATTGAAAACAAATTTCACATTTGAAATAACCACAAAATCCAAAATTTTAATTATAATAATAATAGTAGTAGTAGTAGAGTATGTACAAATATTTGTTGGTGTGAGTAAAGGCGTAAATGAAAATCTCGATTCGCGTAGCTTTTTGTCTGCCACAAAAACTACGAAAACCACAAAAACTAAAAGTACAACAAAGTTACAAATAATTATTGGAAAATTTTAAATTCAAATTCAAATTAACCAAACATAAACAAAAAGTTGCCGAAACAAGGGTGTAAAGCCAAACGGGTAACAATTAGAGCAAATCATATAGTGTTTTAGTCAAACAAAAATTGGAAAATATTTTGTTTTGTTGTGTGTTTTAATAAATACGAGTAATTTTTTATTGTTGTTGTTAGATTTGCATTCCGGAAAATTCCTTGCATCATTTGGATGCAGTGTGTATTTGTTGGTTAGCTATTATTGTTGGTATTTTGTTGTTGTTGTTTACAATAGTAGTACATTATTAGTCTTACCTTCTTCCAAAAAGGAATTTTGTGGGTTACTTATATTTGAGGCTAGGCTGTCCTTGCGGGGTCGGCCACGCCCACGTTTAACAGCGCTCGCATTTATTTTGACTAGAAAATAGAATTTGTGTACGCTTTAACCCAGAGTTTTGGCTCATGGAAGTATTTTTTTTTTTAATTAATTAAAGAATTGTTTGCTTCTAAAGCTACTCTAATTGTGTGTTCATAAAGATAAACATTTTCAATTGTCAACAAACAAAAGGGATAAGTAAACGAAACGAAAGATAAAAACAAGAAAAAATAAAATAGTGCAAATCCGAAAATGACAAAAATAGGAAAAACAATCTAAGCAAATTTTTAGTTGAAATAAGGGAAAATTTGCTTTCACAATACTAGACACAAATAAAGGTTGTTGTAGACTAGGAGAAGCATTGTTTGCTCGAGAAACTGAAATTAGTTTCATGCCGGACGAAACACAAAGGACCATTTATTGTCACATTACTAACAAAATTTGTGGCAACTGCTAAAGGTTAAGCGAACTTTATTTTTGTTTTAAGTATATGTATATCTACATATCTAAATATTGATGTGTTAAATTATTTTTTTCAAATGCATGAAAACTTTAGAGCAAGTTATTGGTGAAGAGGAACTAACAACTCAGTGAAAATTAGCATGTTGTTGTTGCAAGGGTTATTCCGACAGAGTCTAGTGATATATATATTTAGACTGGATTGGAAAGCAGTGCTAGTTGAGTGGGCTTTCCGAGTCGATTTTAGGCTCGTTATTCTCTGTGTTTATATACTCATATATTTAATTCCGATTCATAGAGGGTTAGATTGCCGAATTAGCAGCCCTTGGGCGGATAAAATCTGGACCAAACCCGGTTGAACTCTCTCGTTGAGCGAGCATCTGCTAGCGATCTACCCATTTTCTTCTTTCGTAGATTTTTGTCGACTTTTTGGAACAACCGTTACAACAACACACAAATTCCAATATTTGCATTAAAAAAAAAACCTCAAATTCCATTATTAGTAACGCGCAGAAAGATTATATGAGTAATAAAGTAGGCAAGAGGGAGCAATATATAGATATATGTAACATTTTACCCATACCATTAAGGCTGTGAGCTGTACAACATTAGACCCCAAAGATGGAAGTACATTTTGTTTTTTGAAAATATACAAAATAGCATATAGAAAGAGCATAAAATTATAAATTAATAAAATTAACCCATTAAACCGATTCAGATAAGCAAATAAAAAAAGAAATAAAAACAGTTACGCAAGCACTCACCCTCCTCCACTGTGTCGCGTTGTTTGCGCGGACGACCACGGCCACGTTTAACGTCGGGTGGCGGTGGTGCCATATCGCTACCACCAGCTGGTGTTGTGGCCGGTATAGTAATGCCACCAACAAAACTGCGACTAAATGATGAACCCGACGAGTTTAATGCAGCTGATGAAGTCGAAGGACGCTCGTTACCTTCAACATCGATAAAATCATTTTCCGGCGTACTCGAACGACTCGTACGGTGTGGGAAATCATAGTCTTGATCATCGCCACCCCAAGTATCATCCAGTTCGGCATCGGCACGTGCACGCTCTTGTACTTTGCTGATGTTTTGCTCAAGTTGACCACAATGATCGGAAAACTATTCGAATATTTTATAAAATAATACATTTGTAATAAATTAATTTTTAAAATGCCGTTAATTACCTCTTCTAGCTGTGAGCGCGCAAAATGCAGCAAATCTTTAGCATTCTTTGTGAAGCGCGATTCGCTGCCATTGTATTGCTCACAGTTGGCCGCAATTAGCTCAATGTCCGCCAAGAACTCAGCGCGTGAGTGATAACGATGCGCTGTAAACAAAAAAAAAATATCATTTTATAGTAGTTTTGTACTTACACCATATTGACTTTTACATACCCTCCACATTTTTGCCAATAGTTTCGAGGTCCATGGGACGCTTGATAATTGTATAATAATCGCGCACTTGCTTCTTATTGACTGGCTTCAAGAAGGGCCAGCTTTCTTGCATCAATTTTATTTTGCCATGTAATTGTTCGAAAATGAATGACAGCGCCACTTGATCGTTATCATCCAGCAGTGGATTAATAGCTTTCTCCAAGCGCATTAGCTTGTCTTCCTTCTCGGCCAATAGCTCGAAACAACTCTGCAGCATGCGTTGAGCAGCGACGGTGAACGAGCTGCGCGCACCATTGTATAGAGTTGAATTTTCAACAATTTGATTAAGATCGGCTAAGAATTCTTCGCGATTATGATAGCGACGTTGACGTATATAGTCGCGCATAGTTTGCAGATCCATCGGCTTAGTGACGATGCGATAATAATCGGGCACAAGCTACATTATACGAAAGTAGATTGTGTAAGAGTATATATACATATAAATATTTAGTTACAAATACACACCTTGGCGTTAACGGGAAAGAGAAACGGTGTCACATCCGGCATTGAACGCAACTCATTGAGTATTTCCTCGAGTATGGACGACAAAACAACTACCGGATCCGTACGTCGGCGATTTGCTGTCTTATTGTGACGTTGCAGATAATCGCAATGCAGGTCACCGGCCATGCGTCGCTTCTTCTTGCCCACAGCCTCTTTGGGCACCTTCAACAACAAAGTGCGACGCCGCACATCTTCGTGGCGCTTAAGCACCTTACTGCTCAATGTCACCTTAGTACCATCCACATTGACCAAATCATCATCCTCGCAGTTGAGCTCCTTCTCCACTTCCTCCTCCTGCTCTTCATTAATACTCACATTGGATGAATTCGAAGGCCCTTGCAAGCCAGTGTAGAGCGGACAGGCTTTATTTGTGCGCATGTGTCCAACCTAATTTAGAATATAATTTATATCAATACACATCACTTTATAATTAGAAAGTTATAAGATTATAAGATTACCTGTCCACAGGCACCACACTTGAGCTTCAAGTCCGGCTTCAACTTGAACTTCTTGCGTGAGGGGCTGACTTCTTTGTGTGGCGTGTCGCGTTCTTTATGCGATGAGCCACCAGATGACTTGGGATCACCCAGTGAGGTGGGCATGCCACCTGGCTGCAATTTTTGGTTTTGCGCCAACAATGCAAGTCGTTCGCGTTCTTGATTGCGTTTAATGCGTCGCAGTTGCTCTTG